ATCCTGTCTTTTCCCTCCCTTTTCAGGGATGGGCTGAAAAGGAGTATGTCAGTTTCAGGGTTCCCTAATCTAGTAGTTTGTGTAGTTTGGGGTCCACTTCTAGTCATGAATTTACGTCGTATTTGATAAATTTCTAAGACTGTCCCACGTTAAATATGTGCATAAGCTAGAAACACCAGATTATACTCTAAAAAACGACATTTACAGTCAGTTTTTCAAAAGAAATTTTGTGCCTGTTTAGAAAGGACGGAGGGCCTGACAAAGAAAGCTGTCTAGTCGTTCGTAGGTGACAAAAATCCGAGGTCCCGTGTACACTTTGGCAGCTGGAATTCGATATAAGTGTAGGCCGTAGCACCGCTGTCCGGGCAAAATTTTCCCCATGGCACACAGTATGGCGTATGCCCATCTTCATTAGCCCAGGCGGACGATAAATCCCAATTTATTTCATTTTCATTTTCATTACTGATTAACGACAGTAATGTGTCAGTAGCAAGAACTATTTTTGAAAAACTGACTGTAAATGATGTTTTCTATAGTATGTCCTGTGTTTCTAGTTTATGCACAAATTTTATGCCTGACAATCTTATCGGCAACACTATATACCGGAAAACACCGGAAAACACCATTTTATACTGAATACCGAAAAACACCGGAAAAACACTAAATACCGGAAAACACACTAAATACCGGAAAATACCCTAAATAGATAACCCGGAGACTGGTACCCTAAATAGGTAACCGGGAGCCTGGTCCTCTGTGTGCCTGGGTTAGGGTTAGTTTCCGGTTTATAGCACAGCCCTTCTCCGGGTTACCTATATAGGGTGTTTTCCGGTATTTAGTGTTTTTCCGGTGTTTTCCGGTATTCAGTATAACATGGTGTTTTCCGGTAGTTTTCCGGTGTTTTCCGGTATATAGTATTGCCGATCAGACTGTCAGGCATCAAATTTGTGCATAAGCTAGAAACATCAGGACAGTTACAAAATAGATAATGATAACAGAACATTCTGAAAATTTCAGTCAAATTGCTTCACTCTGAATCGCGATTTTAGCGTTTCAATTTTAGGCTAGTCTCGATCATCATTACTAACGTCGGTATTATAATAAACAAAAGTCTCGATTATCTACTTTTACGTTAAATTTCCATCAAATTCATTAAATATCACAGACTAGCGATGACATCGAGAGTTGATTATGGTCTGGATATGTTAATTAATAATTCAGATGACATTTCAGGCAAATTGTGGACGGACATGGACAAGTTTGACGACAATATACGCCCACGTGAAAATATCGCAGGCTACCGATGGCGTCGAGAGTTGATCATGGTGTGGATCAGTTAATTATTGTTTAATTAATAAGTTATATAACATTTCAGGCCTAAAGACCTGCAGTAGGAATATTTTGCTCTTGCATAGTGTATGTTTAATGCTGACATATCATATATGCATTTAATAAATGCAAGAGACAGTTTTTGTTGTGATTTCGCTGTCCGCCTAGCAATTATTGGATATGCGTATAATATAGATATCAATTATTTGCTATGTTGTAAAATATACTTCCAAATATGATATTAAACATTCTGTGAATTCATTATAGGAATTGAATTGTTTATTAGTCACAAAATATGAAAGGCGCCATGTGCCGAGGGGGGGGGGGGGGGAGAGAACATCTGGAGGACTGTCAAAGAACATTTTAAAACCTAGGGGTGGCAATGGTAATTTGTTTCGTATATCTGGACTCAGTTGGAATTCGATATAAGATTAGGCGATAGTGCCGCTGCCCGGGCAAAATTTCCCTCATAGCACACTGTATGGCGTATTTCCGTCTTCATTAGCCCAGCATAGGAGCAGAACAGTAGGACGTTAAACCCCATTTCATTTCGTCTATTTTAAGATTCCAATGAATAGAGCTATATACAACCTTTAACACAAGCTGTTGATTATTATGTTAAAAATTAAATACGCACAGGAAATTTAAAATGCAATGAAATGAAAATTAATTGAAACTAAATTACAGTAAAATAAATGAGAGGTGATCTAGAGAAATTATATAGACCTATAAGCCCGCCGCCCCCCTCTCTCTCTCTCTCTCTCTCTCTCTCTCTCTCGCTACTTCTTGTCGGATATTTCAAAGGGACCATTTAATTTAGCGTTGATGATCATTTTATACATTAATAAAACATGTTAAAATTTCTAGCACTGGAAATAAATATAAAAGTGGTCCCTTGGAAAAATGTTTTCATTGCGTTATTATTGGGCGAAGAAGTATTTTTCTCCCCCCCCCCAACCTCTTACCAACTTTCCCGGCAGTTGGAATTCGATATAAGAGTAGGCGATAGTGCCGCTGCCCGGGCAAAATTTCCCTCATAAGCCCATGCATAGGAGCAGAACAGTAGGACGTTAAACCCCATTTCATTTCATTTTCATTTCTAACTCAGTATTATTCATAATATTCAAAAGAAAAAACTCCTACGAATTAGAATTCAATTTGGGCCCATTTCATCAATATAGTTATTATTCAGACAAGAGCAGTTCGTACTTACATCTCCACAAATACCCTATAAATGTGTTCTTTGTGTTACAATTATAAGATAAACACATCCTGTTCCGTATTGAGAGGGGGCTTATAGTGTCCATTTAACCATGCTTGAATCACTCGAAACAGGAAGTGTTAGCAATGGAATGAAATGGGGTTTAACATCCTACTGTTCTGCTCCGAACTGGGCTAATGAAGACGAGCATACACCATACAGTGTGCTATGAGCGACATTTTGCCTGGACAGCGGCACTACGACCTACTCTTATATCAATTTCAACTGTCAAGGGATCTTTTACGTGCACGCCAATGAGTATACGGAAACTCTGTTTTTAGTCCCATCCGAACGACTAGACAGCTCTCCTTGTCAGGCCCTCCGTCCTGCATCACTGACAAGGGGAAACCACGCCGGAGAATCCCAATGAACTTTCTCGGCCAATGCAGGGATCGAACACGTGACCTCCAGGCTAGCGAGCCAGCGTCTTACGCACTTAGCCACCGTGATTCCCGGGACGTGTTTATCTCCTAATTGATTTTGTTACCTTGCCGTGACAATATGGGAATATCATATCAGCTATTTAAAACACAGTAAACATTTTAAAATATCTACACGAGTCGTGTATTCTATGGATATAATGGGTTCGAGCGATGAATGATCTATGATTGACCGGTGTCGGGAGAAAACCAGACTTTTATTTTATAAAACTAACGTGTAGTTGAAATTTACCTTTCATTATCAAGTGCAGCACGTGGATCATGTACTTTACAGATCTCTAAAGGAACAGCAATATATTATCAGGTCACCCAACGAAAAAATTGACCAGAAATCTTAGACGGGTTACGTGTCCAGATAATCTCCAAACGACTCAATATTTTGAGGTGAAATTTTGCGACAAGGTAAAGACACCATCCAGCAATATTTTGGTGTCTAAATTTCATACGTACATGGGCTTTTATTTTTGAGGGATGGTCCCTTTAAGTAGTTTTGACGTATTATGCAACTCTATTTTGATTAACATAATCAATTCAGTGGTATTTAGTGGTGTCAGCGAATAAAATGATGACACATTCACAGCAGATGTTTATAACAAAAGTATATAAATATCGTGCTCTTTGGTTTTAATATTATTATACAGAGAATATCTCTTAGGTGCTGTGAATTTGAAATCCAGGATAAGTATGATTTGATTCATGGATTTGCGCTGGTTTAGTTAGTTGGAAAACTCAGGATCGTACCACGTGTTGGCCGAGAAAGTTCTCGTGCTTTCCTGGCATGGTTTCCCCCTTGTCATTGGTACAGGAAGGGGGTCTCAAGGAACAGTTGATCTTATCGAACGAACAACTGACGTCTCATTTGCACGTACGTGGATTCAGACGGGGTTTAACGTGCTACTGTAACGATTGGGCTAACGAAGACGGGCATACCCAACGGTTTGATTATGAGGGGAATTGTGCCAGGGCAGCGGCAATACGACCTCCTCTTATATCGAATTCAAACCGTCAAGGGTTATTTTGTATGTACGCCAATATGTTCACTATACCTCAGTTTGTTCTTCCATTCCGAACGACTACTGATTGATATACATGAATACGGTTGTTGTATATTATATGCAATATCCGGGTATCATGTGTCTTGTCCGTAGATTCATCTTGGTTGCTGTTCATGTTCTCCTCGACGTACTATTACAAACCTTTAATCTAAGTCATGTGTAACATCCCCAGATTACTTTCTTAGAACGAACATGAATCAGGTTTATCTTGTGGTCGGTGACAAATTTCTTAAAGGACTATGTTGGCGTCAGCCAATGTTACATATATGATAGACCTGATGATATATATAATACTGGCTGACACCAACATTGTCCTTTAACTATGTTTTCAGTTACTGAATCGATTGGCGCGGTTTTGATTCCTAGATTGTACGTGACAAAGAGTAAGGTCGCTTGTCCAGCTTGTGAGTTTCCTGCAGGTCCCCCGGTTAATACCCACTAGTTTCCTCTTTTACCCGTCTGTCCAAAAAGTCAGATTGCCCAAAAATTAGTGGGGCAGCTGCCCCTGCCCCCTAGCTCGTATGCCTATGTCTCCACATGGTTGTCAAGAACTGACCTAGTTGTTGATCTAATCACCGGCAGCGGGGGTTGGGGGTCCATGGTGGAGTCAACATTAAATTTGGTGTGAGGCTTCGACTTTATCGCAATGAGTATCGGAGAGAAGAAATGTGCTCTGCGCGAACAATGGGGTGGAGGGTAGGGGGTGGACCCCTGGACATCACCTCCCTCTAGATACGCCTAGCTTCAGGAACAATTGCACATGACAAACCTAAGGACAGGACGCAATATACGGAGATGATACAGAATTGAAAAACAAACTAACAATAAGGGAGGTAACTGAAGGAAAAAATGGGGAATATTTCCCAAACGTTGTATGATACTGGTGACATTAGATGAAAATTGGTTTTTTTTTAGGTTTTTTTCCGAAGATGAAGTGTGTTAGTATGTTGCTTGGTGCTGGCTGTTTAGCCATGTTAGTTTATGAAATCGAAGCATTTTCGGGCTACAAGGACAAGGCAACTCCTGGTAAGTAGACAGCCATAAACTAGAAAACCTTTTATTTCAGGTGGCCGCGACAGCGACGGATAAACCATGAGGGGACCCTATGGCCTTAAGCATGTGGAGGCCCCCCGCCGGATAAACCATGTGGGCCTTAACCATGTGGGCCCCTAACCTAACACAAGTGACCAGGCCAGAACTGAGGCAGTATTATTCCACACAAATGAATGTAACTACAACAAACATAATCTTAAGTCGGACAGTGACAAATAAGGGAGGGCCCTTGAGCCATATCCGCAAAGGCCGTAACCGACCTCCAACCTCGTGGGTTTTCTCCGGGTCTTCCGGTTTCCTCCCACTGCTAAAGACCCCTACGCGCAAGCGAATTATGGAAATAAAATTGAACCATATGTTAGTCCCGAAATGACCTAGTTTGTGTCGAGTGGACGTTAAACCCTATCTCTCTCTCACCTTTATTTTTTATTAAAGGTGCTAATTCACCATGTGTATCACATGCATGTGCTATATACATGTTGGTGAATCTGTGACTTCCATCACTAAATGTATCAAGCATATTTGTTATGGGGATTATTTTTATTACAGGTCCAACATGTAAAACACCAGTAGGTACTTTAAACGTAGGAAAATATAAGGTTGACAACGCTAAATGTCTCAATTATACTTGTGATGAGGAATATTACAGCTTTTGTGGGTACGATTGACTTTTAAGATACAAACTTAGGGTCGAATATCAATCTGATTACAACACAGATCCTATTTCGTTTCGTTTTTTATAGTTCAAAATTTCGTTTTACTTGTCTTTACTATACTAGGATCTGGAAGAGTTGTTATCATTGACGTGTTGTGAATGGTGTGCGGGATTAGCCAATGAAACGGTCTGTTACGGCGAGCTTTAGGCGTATTTTGCACGGAGCTGTGGATAATCCACTAGTAACATCAATGCTGATTGGTTAATCAAATGTCTGAGGGCATAGGGTCAAAAGCCGATCTCAGGCCATGGAAAGTATAAAAAAACGAAACGAAATATAGATCTGTATTTTAATATGATTGGGTCGAATATATACTATTCAAAAAAAGTAGGGGATATTTGATTTTTAAGTGTTATTAAAGTCACCTAATGAAACTGACGAAGAAACAAATGACAAAATGAAATGATGTTCACATTCATCGATTTATTCCAAATGATCGTTAGACTAAGTAAGGCACAGACTGACCATTATAAGTGTAAAATGATACCCGGGGTCAAACAGCAAAGTTACCACAGCATCACAACCAAGTCAGTAACGGGTAAATCCTCCTCTGTTTGCCAAACAAGCATTGATCCGACGTGGCATACTCCTAATGAGACGTCTAAGGTCATTTTGGTCCAGATTGTCCCATTCCTGTTGCAACGCAGCAGCAAGTTCTTGGACATTGGCAGGACGTTGTTGACGTTGACGTAACCTCTGTCCAAGCATGTCCCAGACATGCTCGATGGGGGAGAGGTCGGGACTCAGTGCTGGCCAAGGTAATGTGGTGATGTTCTGTTGTTGGGGGTAACCTGTAACGATCCTGGCCCTGTGACATCTTGCGTTGTCATCCTGGAAGATGAAACGGCGGCCATGACGTCGTGCGAACGGCACAACATGGACTGCCAAGATGTTGTCCCGGTAGTACTGGCCTGTAACACGCCCTGCAACAACATGTAAAGCCGTTCTTCCAGCAACAGTGATGCCTCCCCACACCATAACAGAACCACCCCCAAATCGATCATGTCTGATGACGTTAACGTCTTGGAAGCGCTCGTTTCGACGACGCCACACCCTCCTACGTCTGTCCAAAAAATCAACAGTGAACCTTGACTCATCTGAAAACATCACATTGCTCCAGCGTCGATTATCCCAGTGTTGACGATCCCTACACCAACGACGTCTTGCCTGAATGTGATGATCTCTCAAACAAGGGATCACGCGAGGACGTCGGGCGCGAAGGTGACCCCTATGCAGTCGATTCCGAATCGTCTGGCCACTCACTCTCACACCAGTGTCTGTTTGAAGACGAGCGCTGATCTGATTTGCTGTGATGACACGATTTCTCAAGGCCAAGGTACGGATAAATCGATCGTGGGCTTGAGTTGTCGCCCTTGGTCGACCTGAGCGTGGTCTGTCCTGTACAGATTGTGTATCACGGTATCTGGACCATAGCCTGCTTATGACAGACTGAGAAACATTCATCGTCCGCGCCACAACCGCCTATGTTGTGCCGATCTGTAGCATGCCAAGGGCACGTAACCTTTCATTTTGGGTAAGCCGACGCATATCAAAATTTTTTTTCTGGTCACTAAAACAATTAAACTGATGTTTCCACCCTGGAATTCAATGCCACAATGACTGTAACATTCAAAGTCAGAGTCGTGCAAATCTTGGGTTCGACCCCCATGATGATCCCAAGCATCACCTGCATTCCATGCGGTAGCTATTGGTGCGTTTGGGCGTCACATGTAACTGGAAATGTTTCTTCTGTTAGGTTCTATAGTGACTTTTTTCGTAGTCATTTGCATATTTTAGTATTATGCCCCCAAAATCAAATATCCCCTACTTTTTTTGAATAGTATATTTTAAGATTAGAATCCAACTTCAGTTCAGTATTTTGGGCTAGGAACGACCTCTGATCGGACGCCTGTCCGCTGACGGTTCCTATCCATCCCTATGTCAAACGAACGGAGTGCGGGTATCACAGTGAATAAATATTCTTGCCGAGTTGAACCTACGTCCGAAAACTTTGAGGATCGTAAAAAAGCACCGCTTAATTATCCAATCCCGTGGGTTTTCTCTGGGTCTTCCGGTTTCCTCTCACATCTAAAGACCCGGACGCGATAGCGGTTATTCAAATAAAATTGAACCATATGTTAGTCCCGAAATGACCTAGTTTGTGTCGAGTAGACGTTAAACCATCTCTCTCCCTCTCTGTTTAAACGGTGTTTAGTATTCGATCACATTAAAATAAACACAATGACTGTATTTTAATCGGGGGCTACGCTTTGACAACGATTCTCTTGTCGGTTTCAAGTTCTGAAAATGCTAGAACTATTAGCTTTTATTATTTTATTAAAAAAAAATTACGAATAACACATTTGACACAAATTTATAATAATATAGCAATATTTTCAAATTAGAATTTAGCGATTTAAAAAACACGGTCTGCGCATGTTTTCCCGAAATAACCTAGTTTTTGTAGAGTGGACGTTACCCCCCCCCCCTCTCTCTCTCTCTCTCTCTCTCTCTCCCTCTTTCTCTTTTTTGCCAGTTTCAAGCACTGAAAAGGCTAGAACTATTCGGGTCTATTATATTTTTTTTTACGAATACTACATCAACCACCACCACCATAAGACAAATTTTATGGAAATATGATCCTTTCGTTTCAGAATTGGTTATAATAGTAAGGTAAAGAGAATCAAAGGGTGTGTTAAAAAGAAGTTGGAGGATTGTTGCTACCGACTTGTAAAGAAGGACGATCCTTCCAAGATCTGCCAAGAAAAGAAGTGTCCTGAAGACGACATAAAACATTGTCAATAAAATAACAATTTTGACTATCTGTCTTGGTTAATATTTTGAATACACTGATTTGATTATAGTCCTGTAGTTCTATATCCTTTCCGGAAAAAAGAAAATTTAGAATGTAAATCCATCCAGTCTGTAAAATCATGTATGAAATCTAGTATTACATATTCAGTTACATATTGTTAAACAGTATTATTACATTTTGACCCCGTCGACTTCAAAACATGGGCGCAAAACGTTCTAGGACACCCTTTCGGCGATGATCTTTACTGATGTGCTCTGCCTAGTTGAATCGCTAGTCTTGCTTCAAATAAATTCTGGACTAGAAACTGTTGAGGGAATCTGGATTTAGAATCACGGCACGATTATATTACTTCCAGGCGTTTTGGTACCCGACTGTATGGGTTGGTTGGTCACGTGATCTGTCATTGAATCCAGTGATGCGGTTTCGATCCCAGACGGGGGGGGGGGGGGGGTGGATGGTCGAATGGTTAGCACGGGCGTGCTGTATCATAAGGCCTGCCATTGAGTCTACTGGCGTGGTTTCGAATCCCCGGTTGTACGTGACAAGGAGTAGGGTCGCCTGTCCAACCTCGTGGGTTTTCTCCGGGTCCTCCGGTTTCCTCCCACTGCTAAAGACCCCTATGCGCATATGTTAGTCCCGAAATGACCTAGTTTGCCCCTAGTGGAAGATAACTCCCCTCCCCCCCCTCTCTCTCTCTCTCTCTTTCGATCCTAGGCGTGTACGTGACGAGGACTATCGTCGCTTGCCTAACCTCACAGAATTTTGGGGGGTCATCCAGTTTTCTCTGCACTCAAGCCAGCGAATTACTGAAATAAAAATAAACCATATGTTAGTCCCGAAATGACCTGGTTTGTGTCGTGTGGGGATCACGTGGCTAACTGGGTAAGACGCTGGCTCGCTAGCCTGGAGGTCGGGTGTTCGATCCCTGCATTGGCCGAGAAAGTTCATCCAGATTTTCCAGCGTGGTTTCCCCTTGTCAGTGATGCAGGACGGAGGGCCTGACAAGAACAGCTGTCTAGTCGTTCGGATGGGACGAAAAACCGAGGTTCGGTGTACACATTAGCGTGCACGTAAAAGATCCCTTGGCAGTTGGAATTCGATATAAGAGTAGGCCGTAGTGCCGCTGCCCGGGCAAAATTTCTCTCATTGCACACACTGTATGGCGTATGCCCGTCTTCATTAGCGAAGTTTAGGAAGAGAACAGTAGGACGTTAAACCCTATTTCATTTCATTTTGTGTCGGGTGGACGTTAAACCCTATTTCTCTTTCTCGCTAAATAAAAATCTTTGACATAGCAGACAACATGAATGACGGAAATCACAAACAAACATCAGATATAATATCACTTTGCTTAGCCCAACCAACCCCACCCTGTCCCTATAAAATATGGTGACCCCTATAAAGGTGTGACGATAAAGTTGTGTCCCAATATTGTTATTGCACACAGAATTTGTAGATGACACAGTAGATTATACTTCTTTAGAAGTGAGATTGAAGCTAATGGGGAGAGAGAGAGAGAGAGAGAAGGAGAGAGAGGGGGAGTGGGAATGGGGTTTAACGTACACTCGACACAAACTAGGTCATTTCGGGACTAACATATGGTTTAATTTTATTTCAATAATTCGCTTGCGCGTAGGGGTCTTTAGCAGCGGGAGGAAACCGGAAGACCCAGAGAAAACCCGCGAGGTTGGACAGGCGACCCTACTCCTTGTCACGTACGGCGGGACGATTTACCCAATACTACCCAATAATACCCAATACCACCCGAATACTACTCAAATATCACCACATACTACCCAATACTACAACATAATGGTGCCAAATGAGCATATTACATGATCTTTTTCAAAAATAGTGAGATATATCGTGGGAAATGTACTTCAAATGTGATTACCTATGTCTGGCTGTTCTATTTGCCTCCCTATATCACCCAAATCAAGCAAATAATAACCTAATACTACCAAATACTTATCAAATACTACCCAATGTTATAAAATACAAACCTAATATCGTCAATTAGCAGCACATCAATATAATAATTGCAACGAATATTCGATAATTTACAGAAAAATAAAATATTTACGCAGTTCTCTCCCTTTACAACCGACAAATAGATTTTAGATTGCTACTCAGATTAATCATCTTGTTGGGCTTTGCAGTTTGTTTCCAAGACAAAAAAGAGTTTTAAAAGAAGTTAACAAAGATTTAAAAATGCATTAAAATAAAATCAGTTTATAAAACAAACAGCCAAACATCCAAATAAAAGAGTATTTTAGAGGTTGATATAAAATGTTCATTTAACGGTCTCGTGGCCTACTCAAAAGTCTTCTTATACTATAACTATTTCTTCATTCAGGTGATAACGCGCTGTCTACAAGATCACGCGGTTCGGTAAAAATCATTTGGGTATAATATGCCAGGAAAGCACACGAATTTATCTTTACATCTGTCTTTTAATGACTTTATTAACGCGTCTTCTTTGTCTTTTAAATGATTCCGGTTCCAAACCAGTCGCCTTTGAAAAAAACCCCTCTTGTCAAACTTTCACCGATTTTTCGAATATCGACACTATTGAACAAATTCTAAGTATTCTACGGTATATACCCACAGGTGACGATGTCGCGGCGATGTCATTACCACCTAAATAGACACGGTCACCAGTTTCATCCCACATATGCATATGTTTATATTTATTTTTTCATGTCAACGATTAAGTTATTGCATCTGTTTTAGTTTAAAATTAACGAAATTGTACATGTTTATTACAAATGTGCAATGCTCTACTCGTATATACATTCCACCTGACTTAACAATTAATCCATGGGGTTAAGATTGTTGATTGGGTAATCAAGTTCTGGTTTATTTATATTATCAAAGAAACCGACAGAGTTGTAACAGGCCACAAATGATAGTTTTGATGAACTGAGAAGTGTCGCGTCAAGAATTACACACTGGAAAGAAACACATGCAATTTCATTAATTTTAAAATAAAACATCGTGCAGTAAGTAAATACGCAATAACTTAATGGTTGACATGAAAAAATGAATATAAATATTATGCAATTGTTTTGTTAAAGCATTAATTCTAAAATGAATACAAACAATCGACACTAACTAGGTAATTTCGGGACTAACATATAGTTCAATATTATTTCATTAACTCGCTTGAGCGAAGGGATGTTTAACAGTGAGATGAAACCGGGGGACCCGAGAAAACCCACCTTGTTTGACAGACGACCTTATCAAGTGGTAAGAGACAGATGGGTCATTTTGGGAATAAACTATGGTATATCGTCATACTTGTCTTTCTTATTTTAAGTTTGACGTCTTGGAAACCAACTGCAAAGCCAAAGAAGATGATTAATCAGAGTAGCAATCTAAAATCTATTTATCGGTTGTAAAGGGAGATAACTGTGTAAATTTTTTAATTTTCTTCAAAATATCGAATATTTGTTGCAGTAATTATACTAATGTGCTGTTATTTGACAATATTAGGTTGTTATTGGATCATATTGGGTAGTATTTGGTGGTATTTGATGAATATTTGGTAGTATTGGGTCGGGCCCGTAGCCACGGCTAAGCTCTCCGCCCCCCCCCCCCAAAAAAAAAAAAAAAAAAATAAATAAATAAAACAAAATAAATCGAGTTAGCCCCCCCCATTCTCCCCAAAATATGTCGCCGACAATAATGATATTTCAGGAGTGTTCAAATTGGTGGGCGACCCGTAAACTCGTAGCATGGTCCGCCGAGGCCTGCCTGTCATGTAAGGATAATCAAGAAATCGGCGAATAAGGTAAGCCGCTATGTTAAAGGCAAGGTAAAGTGACACCATTTTGTCACAACACCTGAAAAGATGAAAAATTTATTCCAAAAACCAGAACAGTGGCCCTTGGATACAAAAGTCTAAAATGAAAAACATTACTCACAGACCATTTTTTTTTTACTACCACAGACCCTTTAAACAGATCTTGTGATCACTGAGGCGTAAATTTATGGTGAAAATATCGCAAAATGTCCAACAAACGCGGTTACACCTACAAGAATTATACTATTCAAAAAAAGTAGGGGATATTTGATTTTGGGGGCATAATACTAAAATATGCAAATGACTACGAAAAAAGTCACTATAGAACCTAACAGAAGAAACATTTCCAGTTACATGTGACGCCCAAATGCACCAATAGCTACCGCATGGAATGCAGGTGATGCTTGGGATCATCATGGGGGTCCAACCCAAGATTTGCACGACTCTGACTTTGAATGTTACAGTCATTGTGGCATTGAATTCCAGGGTGGAAACATCAGTTTAATTGTTTTAGTGACCAGAAAACAAATTTTGATATGCGTCGGCTTACCCAAAATGAAAGGTTACGTGCCCTTGGCATGCTACAGATCGGCACAACACAGGCGGTTGTGGTGCGGACGATGAATGTTTCTCAGTCTGTCATAAGCAGGCTATGGTCCAGATACCGTGATACACAATCTGTACAGGACAGACCACGCTCAGGTCGACCAAGGGCGACAACTCAAGCCCAGGATCGATTTATCCGTACCTTGGCCTTGAGAAATCGTGTCATCACAGCAAATCAGATCAGCGCTCGTCTTCAAACAGACACTGGTGTGAGAGTGAGTGGCCAGACGATTCGGAATCGACTGCATAGGGGTCACCTTCGCGCCCGACGTCCTCGCGTGATCCCTTGTTTGAGAGATCATCACATTCAGGCAAGACGTCGTTGGTGTAGGGATCGTCAACACTGGGATAATCGACGCTGGAGCAATGTGATGTTTTCAGATGAGTCAAGGTTCACTGTTGATTTTTTGGACAGACGTAGGAGGGTGTGGCGTCGTCGAAACGAGCGCTTCCAAGACGTTAACGTCATCAGACATGATCGATTTGGGGGTGGTTCTGTTATGGTGTGGGGAGGCATCACTGTTGCTGGAAGAACGGCTTTACATGTTGTTGCAGGGCGTGTTACAGG